GAGTCTTTTTCACTCGGCCCTAGATTTTGTGACTATGGAATTTGTTATGACCTTGATTTGTCTACCCACTTTTTGGTGCCGAATCAGAATTCAAATGAGCCAACTCAATACAAATGTACAGTTTGAAAATCTATTTACACAAGCAACAGATTTGGTGCCTACTTCTCCCGATGAACTCATTACGTTTAAGACAACGTTGATGGACATCTGCCAACAATACAAAAATAGTAAATGTACTGTGAAAACTCAACTTACCAAACAACACCGAGATGCTTTACATATGATTAGAAAAGACAACACTAATCATAAGCAAACCGGACAAAGTAGGAGGGCTAGTTCTTATGAACAAAGCCGATTACATTAATAAAATGAACTCAATTTTGAATGATCCGACTAAATTTCAGAAACTCAACGACGTGAAGGACATAAATATAAAAGCAGAAAAATTGCTGACTAACTCACTAAAGGAATTAAAAAACAAAAAGGTATACTTACTTCGGACATACACGACTCACTCAAACCGACTGGATAGAACACACAGCGACTATATGGTTTACCTAAAGTTCACAAGACAGGTCTTCCTCTTCGCCCAGTTTTAGATATGTATAATTCTCCATATATGATAAAACTGCAAAGTGGCTAGTTCGAATCTTAAATCCATTACATAAACTAGTCGTCAACAGAAGCGTGAAGGGGACGTCTTCGATTTCATTTCTAAAGTGGAACATATGAACTGAAATGGGAAACGTATGATGTCTTTAGATGTTGCTTCACTATTTACCAATGTACCGTTAATTGAGACTATTGATTTTGTGTGCCAACAACTACAGGAAAAACAAATCAATATTGGAATTCCTGAGGTTAATCTTAAAGAATTACTTTTGAAATGCACAATGAATGTCCATTTTGTCTTTAATAACACATTATAGACAAATTGATGGTATAGCGATGGGTTCGCCTCTAGGTTCCATTCTTGCGGATTTTTTTTCTGGCGAAACTAGAAAATGGACCTCTCAGAGAGGTTATCATCAATAAGCTTGATTTCTACTGTCGTTACGTTGATGACACTTTCATCATTGCCGATCAGAACATTAGAAAAGAACAACTACTAGAACTATTTAATAACAAACATCCTGCAATTAAATTGACATGTGAAGAGGAACTAGGTAGTAAACTACATTTTTTTGACGTTTCGTTAGATAGAAAAGAAAATGGTTCTGTCAGCAGATGTGTGTATGGGTAAAGTCTTTCAAACCAATACACATATTTTTTAAGCTTTGTGCCTCTTCATTATAAGAGAAACTTAGTCAAATGCTTGGTAAGTAGAACTATTAAGATATGTTCAGTTGACAAAATTGATACAGAATTAGAGCACATTCATAATATGTTGATTGAAATGAGATATCCACAGGGTTTCTTGACGAAACTCCTGTGTGTAACAAGCAAGAAGATAGTGACACTAACAGCTAATAAGAAACCTCTTTACTTGAAGCTGCAATTTAAGGGTGATGTATACAGTGAAATGTCTGATGGTGGACGGTTAAGAAGATTGAAGAAAAGAGAACCAAAACAGAGAATGATAGCTGTGGAAACAAAGGAACAATGAAGTCTGAGACGATTGATTGACTTTTTACAATTGAAGTTGATGTTTGAATAAGAAAAACATTTTAGAATTTAAGTCAGTTAGTTAAAAGAAAACTTGATAAACGATTATTTTTATTGTTCAACATTATGTCGTCGAGGGTGGGGAAAGTCAGCTCTTTCTCTCGAAATGCTGTCACATGGCCACACATAAACAACCACTGTTAGGGAACTCCTACTCACTAGCTTCTCGTGAAGGTGTTGGTTAAGAAATTGAGAGGACGAAAAGTGAATGTCCGGCAACTTAACCGGGTTGATGGATACAGTGGATCTATATAGGAGAGTTGAAAAACCTTGATTCGAAACTAATGGACTGTGTGAAGTTAATGATTGGATGAATTATTAATTTACGTAAATGTTGGAAACCATCATTTGAATCAGATTCAATTGTGCTTGGGTCTGGGTATGAAATAAGGGACGCAGATAATATGATAGCCAGTATGGTGAGTTATAACGATGTTAATGATTTTAATACTAATATGTCTGACAGCTTACGTGCTAAATATGATTAGTCAAGTTGAATAGGTCACCCTTTAGACTTCCACTATAATAAGTGTACATTTCCAAGCATAACTACAAAATATAGGAACCGAAAATTGAGAAGCAAAAACAATCAGGAGACTTAATAAAAATAGAACAATTAGAAAGTGAGTAAGACATCACCAAACTTCACATAAATAAGCAGATATATAACAGTTTACAGTCTAAAGTTTTTATTTATCAAATTCATTACATAGTATCCTAGGAGATTATAAACAGTTAGGAGAGTAGTAGAATAACAACAATATTCATAGTGTAATTTATGTGAAATAAACAGTAAATCAAATATGCATTGTCGAAACTCGATATTACTATGGTGGTTTTGCTACCGGATGTCTACAACAACGGTCGAATATAGAGGATTATCAAACATCCTCAATTTAGATAGTACAGGTTTCATAACCTTAAGTGGTCTCATATCATACCGTTTACTATAGTTGGAATAGCATCACGATTTCATCAAACATGGACCGAATTGAAGAAAACCACTCTGGGTTCCCACTATGCGTAAAATAACTACATCTATGACGCCACCACTACGCGTACACTCTTACAAAACTAACTAGATACATTAACTTTTAGATTACATCTGAAGGATCAACAAAACAGTAAATGAAGGAATATTCTCTCGTCAGACTTGCAGAAACACCTTGTACTTGGCTGCAAAATACATGCCATATATCGATGTACATCAAACGTACTAAATACTTCTCTCGAAACAATTTTTCTGTTTTTTAGACTCACTCAGTTTAACTGAACTAATACAAAAATAATGTCATATATTTGAAGTAAATAATATAAATTGACTTATTTAAGAGGTGTTGGGTATGAGCTAGTGACACCACTCGATTACTGAAACCGAAGTAGGTGCAACGGGATTCGAACCTGAGACTAGGTGAACGTCAAACGTCTCAATCACTGAGCATACAACCAAAAATTCATTATAACAACAGCGAAACAGAATTCATTATTTACCTCTTAGTGTTAGATTATTGAAGGTAGTCGAAAGAAAATCCTGATTGGACAATATTTCGTGATAATTTACATTGAACAACAACTAGGTGTATTTGTAATCACGATGGGATTGATACCTCCTGGAGGATTTGAACCTGCGTCATCCAGTATTACTTTCTGTGATATGCTACTAATTACTAAGTTATTGGACGTAACAACTGACTTTTACTGATTAAAGTTAGTCAGTTAGCAACATCATAGAACTTCGTACATATGCACATCAGTTCGAGTTGCCATACCATATTAGCACACAGACACAATTGTCGATTCAAATCCCGTAGTGGTAGAGGTGGTAAGAGTATAAGCAGTAATCGAAAAGATTAGGTGTTGAAAATGTTATTCAAGGAGTATAATCCAGTGGAATAAATTTGGAAAGAGGAAAAAAAGAAAGGGATATGAAGAATTCAGAAAATTAGAATTTGGGAGAACACAAAGAGTGGATGCACCTGAGCCCACCATTGCAAACGATTTTCAGCCATGTCATTCAAGATGTCTAACCATCGGTTGCTACCGTCTCGCGGATCCTAACCAGGTAGTCTACACCTGCCGACATGGCTCAGTTCACTTGTCAGTCACTTCGTGGACTGGTGTCATGTTTTGGTCTGGCCACCCATAGCTTTCTTCCAACCTACTCCTACACCATAAAACATCACACGTCAGGGGAGTCGGTGGTTGGGTATACGTAACACGCGTCCCAGCCATCTAAACTGATGAATTTTCACTACTTCATCAATAGATTTGCCATTCGTATCTAGTACCCGTTTCCTAACAACTGTATTACTTACTCGGTGGCCGCAGGATATACGAGCAATGTTTCGAAGACATCTATGGTCGAATACTAGTAACCTACGAATATCCTCTACCTTTACCGACCATGTTTCACACATTCTACTAGAATAGATAAAAAAGAATAGGATTAATCATGATTTATGTGTCACTTACTGCCGATAGAACCTTGATTGTTCAGATAACATATTAGATATACAAGACTATCAAAAAACATGTTTCCACACTTAATATATGAAAACAACAACCACTAACTACTGTGTACAGATAGGAAGTAAACATTTTGAAAAAGAAAAAGGAAACTATTGAATCACATAGCATTAAATATTTGTTTAATTTGTAGATGAAGTTGATTGACAAATCCACTTAAAAATTTCTAAAGACATGAAGTCTTTAAAGTATCTTTGTTTGAATAATGGAAACTTACAACTCACCCTCTCTCTATCAAATTGAAACAATGATATTAATGTTGCCCCCAAATGCCCTGATACGGCCGAGAGTAGAGAGAGTCCGCACTCCCTCTCTAAATCCTCTCACATCGCCACGTGCATACAATCAATTCCAGGGAAGTCCTACTCACTGCTTTCTCGCATCATTACTGTTGTTTACGAAATCGAGAGGACAAAAATCGAATGTCCGTCACTATAACCGGGTTGGTGGACACGGAGGGTTCATCTAGGAGAACTGGAAAACCCTGATTCCAAATCAATGGTGCACATGGGCTGGCTCCAGTATCCCTTAGGAACAAATAGCATATGAACCAATCGTTGATCGCGGGCTACCATGGGACTGCATCTCCTTGTGATGCTCCACTGCCTTGTGGATCAGACCTTTAGGTCAAAGGCTCCGGTTGTGGCTCCCTAAGAAAATCACTTGTTTCGATTTTGGCACCCGGGCAGTATCCTAGTCTTCACATAAATCGAGTGATTTATGTGGCGCATATCTGTTTAAATAAGTAAAAAAAATAAGTTAAAATATCATCAATGTCGGTAAAAACAAAGTATAAACAATAAACTTACTTTTCAATCAAAAATTTCCTTAATTGTTCCATAATCTCTGCAGCTTGACGATGATAATCCGCTTGTGATGTTGCAAATTCTAATAATGAATGCATTTGATCAGTCTAATTATGAAAGAGAATTAAAAAGAATACATGAAATTTCATCAAGAAAAGCTAACCTGCTATATCACATTAGCACAATAAAAATGAATACTAAAATGATAGAAGTTCTACTACGATTCTCAGTCATTTCCCACTATGCATCTAACCATTGATCAGGATAATCGCGTTGAACTTATCTAGGTAGTCCACACTTCCAAACGAAGCTCAATTCCACAATTAACAGACTGATGTCATACGTTGGTATGAAAAATTCAAGTTTTTTTACAACGAACTCGTAGATTAGCGATTGTTGGACACATAACTACTGATACACGTACAAATTACTATACTAGAAATGGATGAAGTAAAACACTAGCCGGAAACAATTATGAATGAAGAAATCAAATGGGGTTATGAAAAATAATCAAAGAAAGGGGAAACTACTTTAAATGAAGATAATGATAAAATTTTGACATTAAATTAAAAACAAAACAAGGATATATTTAAGCAAAGATGGATAGTGACTAGCAGTGGAATCCAGGCCGCACGTTTCGTCCTACTTGGGACTCATCAGAACTCAGTAGCTAAGTAGGCAACGCGATGGCGTTTGAAGGGAACGGTACTGAGTTTAAGTACTGGAGTGAACATCAACTCTGAGATGCAGGCACATCCAGCTGACGAGTCCCAGATAGGACGAAACGCGTGTCCTGGACTCCACCGCTAGCCGCTATCCATCTTTGCTTAAAAACCATATGATTTAAGGCCATATCGAGGCAATCCTCACAGGATGCATATATGCCAACATGAGACTGATCAATTGCAATCATAAATAACAATGGGAAGATACAAGTAAAACAACACCGAGCGAAATGAAAACAAGAATATATTTCTTCTATGTATAAAATTTAGGTTACATTCCATATTACAACAAAAAGCTTACATTACTTTAAGGTCTAGGAAAAGAAGAAATCTAAAGCTACAGTCACCTCCAGTTACATACCATCACGGGAAACATTGTTCAAGATCATCTACAATGTTGAAAGAATTGGTTCGAAGGATTGGACGGGGAATTTATGCACAATTAAAGCTATGGCACAATTCGACGTAAGCTAGAACATCATTGAAAACCTAGAAGCACTGAATGGCTGTTTCGTTCTAGTATGAGAATTGTGAATTCAACTGTGAAAATACTACAATCTTTACAAATCCCCATACTGAGAATAATTAATACATGTGTAAACTTTTATTCACTTCTATCCGTACAGTTCTGTCACATCGAGAGCTGAACAAAATTTACAAAGAGAAATGGATTGATAACAGTAGGAGTATATATCACATATGTGATGCTCAATGGTATAGACGGCCAGACCAAAACATGGCACAAATTCATCAAGTTATTGACAAGTGGACTGAATCATGTTGGTAGGTGTAAACTATCTGGTTGGGGTCCGTGAGATGATAGCAATCGATGGTTAGATACCTTAAATGACATGGCTGAAAATCGTTTGCAATGGTGGGCTCAGGTGCATCCACTCTTTGTGTTCTCTCAAACTCTAATTTTCTGAATTCTTCATAGTCCTTTCTTTTTTTTCCTCTTTCCAAATTTATTTCACTGGATTATACTCCTTAAATAACATCTTTAAACCCTAACCTTTTCGATTACTGCTTATATTCATACCACCTCCACTACTAGGGGATTTAAATCGACAACTGCATCTCTATGCTAATATGGTACGGCAACTCGAACTGATGTACGTTGTTACTGACTGACTGACTGACTGACTATATCATATATTGACTGGAACCAGAAATATGAACAATTGAATTGTAATACCATAGTTTTAAGATAACTTTCTTGGATTGAGACATGTAAAGAACAATACCCTATTGAATAATAATGTATATACCCACAGTTGAAGAATCTTGAACCGGTATAAAACAGATGTTTATCAATACCACCCAGTTGATAAATATCTATGGTAAAAACTAACTTTATATTTGAGAAGAAAAAAATTCACAAAAGTCCAAATGGTATAACCTAGTTTTAATACACTTGAAAGTAACCGGAATAAAGGTAGCACATAGTAAATAGAAATTAAGAAAAACTCTTAAACAAAACACCCCTGTAAAATATTGATCCTTTGTACCATTTTCATAGGCGGCCGGCATGAATATCAGGGCTACCTGTTCCTACTATCTCGATATTTCAACAAGTTATCTGTTTTCTTGTTTGTTTGTTTCAACACATCATTATGCCTATTAGACTTATAACCTATTCAGGTGCGTTTGTGAAACGTTTACGACATTTCGTTGTACATTTTACAAAAGAGCTCAATCAGAGACATCATGGATACTGGCAATATGCATCGTAAAGGACATAAATGTATCAGATGTCCATTCCTGAACCGCTAACATCGAACTGGCGTCCACTCAATATTTATCGCAAGGAACTGATCAAGAAACTTGTTGAAGTACTTTGTGCTGAGAATTCTATATTGTACCAAAAATATAATATTGAATAAAGCCACTAATAATAATAATTAATATTATTATTATTCTTTCAGTTTCTTTCTGTGGCAGGCTACTAAGAAAAACAGTCACCTTGGACATTCCTTACCTGCCCTAGTCGATTAATAATTGGTAAAATCTTATCACAGAGTTAAAAATCTACCTTGGTTTCCTAAATTATATATCTGATGCATGTGTGATATTCACTTCCTTATGTCAAAAGAATGTACACTGTGTAGTAGTTCATTGTGTTTAATTTAGATATAAACTATATTCCAAGTAAAGAATTGTTGCTCACGTCAAGTTTTGTGGTAAACAAAATAAAACATTGAAGAGAAAATGCTTAATAACTCATAGATACTAATAATGCTTTTTTCATAAAATGTTAGGGCTGTTAGTCAACTACTTGGAAAACCAATCAACTTGATGTAAATTTTTGAATTAGGTTTAAAAAACAAACTTAATCTTTATTATCAGAAAGAGGTTTTGTGGAAATTTTAGTAATTTCAATAGTTGAAATTATGAGTTAATTGAAGCTAGACTACCATGGAAAATCTGGAAGCACTGAACGGTCTTTAATCAATAAGTCATAGACTCGAACCCCGACCGCATTAACTTCAGTATGTACATCCAAATATTAAAAACTTTCACGTAAATAGTGTATATAAAAATCAGTAACAAAACATTGTACTTCATCAATAACTTAGATTAATGTTATGTAATGAACGCATTCAGTATATAATCAATGTATCCTACGTAAGAACTCTATATCCCTTACTTTGGTTCAAGTAACTGAATAGGTAGGACTACACTTGCTTATTTGCCCCTAAATGCCCTGGTACGGCAGAGAGTGGGGAGAGTCCATTCTCCCTTTCGAAATGCTCTCACATGGTCATGCGTATATAGCCTCTACCAGGGAAGTCCTACTCACTGCCTTCTCGTGGCGTGGGTGTTGTTTACCAAATTGAGAGGACGAAAAGCGAATGTCCGGCGCTATAACCGGATCCCAAATCAATGGTGCACATGGGCGGCTGACTCCAGTATCCTGCGGGAACAAATGGCGTATGAACCAATCGTTGGTCACCGGCTACCATGGGACTGCATCTCCTTACGATGTTCCACTGCCTTGTGGATCAGACGTTCAGGTCGAAGGCTCCGGGTGTGGTCCCCTAAGAAAACCACCTGCTTCGGTTTGGGCACCCGGGCAGTATCACAGCCTTCACATATATCAAATGAGATTTATGTGGCGCATATGTAATTGGTGCCTCCTTGTACCAATATCTATGTGTTAAAATAAATAAATAAATAAACACTTGCTTATTTAAATTTCGGATGTAATAATGTAATACTACCACTTATAAATACGTTCCCATTACAATGAGCATTTTAGTGACTCGATATAGGATTCTAGTTAGATCGTATACTGAATGCTATTGAAATATACATATCGGTTACCTTCGTATATTTTTGTCGACTTAATTCGCGTTGGTAACTAATGGAATTAAATAAGTCAAATACGAGGATAAAGTTCGAATACCCATATTTCGTACACTCATTGATCTGAACAAACAATCAGAGAAACCAAACGGAGAAAGCAAAACGAGACAAAGCGCAATTGAGTAGGCGAGCAAGCCAGCTCCGTTTAGTCAGTAGTGTTATCTGTATAATAGGTAACGGAAGTTAGTATTATAAATTCGGACTTAAACTGATAGGAGTTAGATAGATCAATAAAGAATATATCAGGCTCCAGAAAGATAATTTTAGGTGTATATGTGTTTGAGGCTATGGATACGACTTGGTTGTTGATTACATCAAATGAGATTAGAATTTGAAACTCGATGGTCGAATAGGAAGTATTTGAACCATAAAATCAATAAAACAAGTCTTTCTGTCGAAAATTTAAATTCAGTCACACTGTACAGTGATGTACTATTTAGATTTGAACATAGGCATTGATATGTATGTCATGAAATATATGCGTCACCTTGGTCGAAACAGTGAATGTTCTACTCACAAGCTTGTTTGGAATAAGATGAAATTTGAAGGAAGAAAAGGAGAGGTCAAAGTAAAACGACAAATCAACCCATGAAGTCATTGATGATTACTGGATTCAGTGATATTCTTGGGTGAAGACTATCTGGATGTTGTTCGCACAATAACCTCGAAGAGTGATTGGAAATGTTAGATGAAATGGCTCATAATCCATTCATTATCTTACTCAAGATACCAAGTTTCACCATCACTTGATACAGATATACCTGTTTTCAATAACATTCCCCAGTAAATAGTCTTTCTTCTTATTATTATTTCTACTTCCGGTTCATTGCATCCCACTACTCCCGATCGATGTTGCTACCTTGACGTGGTGGTCCGGCTTGCCAATCGTGATGAACCGATTGAGCTATACTGGCTGGAACAACCGTTCCTCAAGGTCCTACCATGCCAGACAGGTCGGTTGAAAAGCGGTAAGATTAAAAGCAACAATTCCAAGGTCCGAAGGCGAAGTAGTACTGCTGACTGTACAGAGGTGCGACAAAAGTAAGGCGTTTCTTTCAGACAATCAGCATGACAGCGATGCTTCCTTCCCAAAAGGAGGGGTGGGTGGGGTTAGAAAAGGTCGACCCTAAAAATGGACACCTCGCCTTATCCAACGGTTATCTATCTTTGGCGGTAAGGTCTCAACAAGTACGGAGCTAACACAAAAACTACTCATAAAAAGGTCGTGTGTGACAGACCTCAAGCAGCTGTCCCTTGGGCACTGCGGTCAAGCTCTCAGGTCACTAAGACTAGTCCAATTTCGTTTTCAGGTACCGGGATGTGATAACCGCCCTTATACCTCTAACAGCAACCCCCCACTACTTTGATATGATATATTATCTTGAATAAACACAAACCATGTTGTTAGGCCCTACATTATGACTAACTGTAAGAATGAACGTATTCCAATCATACTGATTAGCATTTCAAATTACAATGAATGTTAACTATTAAAAACCACTTATTTTAACATAGTTTTTTCGGTTTTAAACAAAAATACAACCCCCCCCTCAAATTGTTTTCATTCTCAAGTCATTCGTTCATTGAACAATGACAAAAAAAAATGAGTGCATAAAAGTACAATTAGAAACTGCTTTTTACAATTGGGTGGGACAAAAAAAGTGATTGATAGCAGAATTAAATATGTACTACGCGTTTACAATGTAACGATTGCTTTGACAGTACTATTTTTGCCTTTATTTTATATGCCTATTAAAGTAATCACAAGATTTCTCAAATTTCGTTGCCCCCAAATGCCCTGGTACGGTTTAGGGTGGGGAGAGTCCGTTCTCCCTCTCTAAATGTTCTCACATGGTCATATGTATACAGCGACTGACAAAGAATTCCTACTCACTGCCTTCTCGCAGCATTACTGTTGTTTACAAAATTGAGAGGATGAAAAGTGAATGTCCGTCGCTTTAAACGGCTTAGTGGACACAGAGAGTTCAATAGTTGAACCAACCGTTGGTCACCAGTTACCATGGAACTGCATCTCTTTACAATGCTTCACTGCATTGTGGATCAGACCTTTAAGTCGATAGTTTGGGGTATGGCTCCATAAGAAAACCACCTATTTCGGATTTTCGCACCCAGGTTGTATTCCAACCCTCACACAAATCGAATGATTTATGTAGCGCATATCTGTTTGGTGCCCCCCCTGGTACCAATATCTATGTGTTAAAATAGTAAAAAATAATTGATGAGAGGAATCTTTTATGTAAGGAATGAGAAAATTACCTAAAACATTGATGAATATAATAATAATTATACATAAGAACATAATTTGACATAGTAACTATATTAATTATGATTATAGAAGAAATCATCATAAACGAACTGACTAATTAACTGTAAATAAACACACTCTCGTGAATACTATTTTATCACCAAGATGGAAAAGCTTAAACATGATATCCAAAAGATATAAATGTTAACGTGAGTTCACATTAATAAGTAGCCTGATATTTAATCGACAGAAAGGTATTAGATAGAGGTTGTGACATAGTGGTAGAATTGAGAGTAACAAATTCCATGCTCAAGAGTGAAGTTACAATGTCGACTGTATTAGGTTAGGACATTAAGATTTTTCCTATGGATAAACAGTAGTTGTAGTAATACAATCCATTCATGAATGACAGCAGAAATTTCCCTTTATAGTCTCCATTCAAATATCTTAGACTGAAGAGATTGCCGAAAATTGTCAAATCTTTTTTGTTTTTCAGGGTTTCCAGTCAACTACCTCCAAACATCATCTAACATAAAAATACAGTGCACGCGATGTTGAGTCACTTGAGTTAGCTTGTTCAGTAGAATATGACATTAATCATTACTCATGGATAAACCAATTTTAAAGACGTCTCAATCGAACAGGAAGTCAGTTGCGACCAATACAACTCAATGATGACATCTCATATAGAAACTAAGTGACATGGGGTTGAATCTATCAGGGAGTATCATCAATTCCCTCAGGATTACAACAAGTACACCTTCAAATTTTATCATTCGATTACATGGATATTTTATAACTTACTTCACTATTCAAAAAATTAATCATTGCTTGTTCGGCTAATGCTTTTGATTCATTGAATTTTTCTTCAGCAATTTTAACTTCATCTTCAGGTAATCTTGAATTGCTTGCACCTATGAAGAAAAGAGAAGAAAACAGATGAAACATACACATAATGAAAGAATATCCATAATATTTTCATTCTGAATTATGGTTTCAAACCTTAAAAAGGTAGTTGATGTAATTATATATGGTAACCTGTGAATTACGTAACAAGTATTACTCACGTTATCTATTAGTAACAGTTCAAATTATTCATTGTTGTTGATATTCAAGTATGAATTTTGATTAATCTTCGTAGGTAGATATGCATCTTCTATGGGTTGCTTCAGTATAAGCTATTTTGTCACAAGTTTTTAGGATAAATCGATTGTAACTAGCAGTAGGACTAAAGATGTGGTTTTTATCCTGAAATAAGATATTGCATTCGAAGATCAATAAAGATATTCAACTAATGAGTCTTAAACAGCATGGAAGTTCAACTCCATCTGAAGATTTTATCACAATTCTTTGAAATAAATAGCTAATTGATGTAAGGGATTTCTGAAAATTGTTCATTTTAAAGATAAACACGGCGAACGACACTTAAGTAGTAGACAATCTTTTAAGATTATGAGACGGTAAACAATTATCTCACCCTACTCTATTGTATTCATCAGCAGTGCACGGCCACTGCCCTGCTATGAATTGAACCCAAGATCTTCAAGCCTGGCAACATGAATCGGGATCCAACGATCGGTTGACAGGGAATTTTGTACAAAACGTGATAATTGAGCGGTTATAACAAATAAAACAGCGAGACTATAATTTGTGAACGAATCAATAAGGTATAAGATAACAGATTTTGGATTTTGGTGCGAAAGCCTTTCATCCATTCGGCTAAATAGATTTCTGGCATTATAGCTCATGTCAGTTCGTGATGAAAACCCTATATATAATTTCTAACTAAGGCAAATTATGACAATTACTTTGAACTGGATAATAAAAGCACCAGTCACACTGGCTGCAGCCAGGTACTACAATATATACGGATGATTGGAGAGCGTACACACTCCTACATAGGCTTCTTTATGTGCAACGTGTCGTTATCCATAAGTGATATTTTGTATACTCAACAACCGGAGTGCACAGAAACAATATTGAGACTATTATTATTATTCTATTTATTTATTTTAACACATAGATATTGGTACAAGGAGGTACCAAATACATATGCGCCACATAAATCTCATTGGATATGTGTGAGGGCTGTGATACTTCCCGGGTGCCCGAACCGAAGCAAGTGGTTTTCTTAGGGGGCCACACCCCGAGCCTTCGACCTGAACGTCTGATCCACAAGACAGTGGAGCATCGTAAGGAGATGCAGTCCCATGGTAGCCAGCCGGTGACCAACGATTGGTTCATACGCCATTTGTTCCTTCAGGATACTGGAGCCCATGGGTACCATTGCTTTGGGATCCGGTTAAATCGCCAGACATTCGCTTTTCGTCCTCTCATTTTTGTAAACAACACCCCCGCCACGAGAAGGCAGTGAGTAGGACTTCCCTGGTAGAGGCTATATACGCATGACCATGTGAGAGCATTTCGAAAGGGAGAGTGGACTCTCCCCACTCTCTGCCGTACCAGGGCATTGAGACTATGTGGTCGAGGCTGTGTAAGTTTTCGAGACTTTATCATAGCTCCTAATGCCGTTTATTTCGTAGCCGTATAGATGATTTCCCCTACTGAATGCATTACAATTTTAGAACCTTTGAACCTTTTTCTGACCATGACACGGATAAAAAGTGTATCCACTTGATTTCTTTGATTTTGTATAATATATTTTTATTCACTCTATACTGACTCTATTTACTGTTTGACTAATATTTATCAAAGTCACAGTTAAGAATCATTCAAACGTCGTCCATAAATTAGAGTCTTGCCGATATCCAAGAAAATTTGATCAATCTATTGTAATCTCAACATAATCTATGAAATATGTTTACATAGTTTGTATAAATCTATAAAATAAATGATAAGTAAATTCGCGCGCGAAACCAGTAGGTCCTGGGTTTGAATCTCGCAGGAAGCGAGATCGTGAATGCGCACTGCTGAGGAATCTCACAATAGGACAAAACGGCCGTCCAATGATTCCAGGTTTTCCATAATGGTATCTAGCTTCAACTGACTTATGATTTTAACCATTGAAAATATATTTCAGTTAAACTATAGACATATTAATCAAATCATACTGATTTCTATAGTATAATTGAAATGAGATACACTATGGAATGTGACAGCATATTTCAGAAATATTCACCTATTTATTCATTTATCAATACAAAATAGAATAATCATAGGAACTGAATAGAAATATTATGAATGTATGTATTGTAAATCATTTAGTTAAATGATGAAAAACAAAATACACTTTAGGTATTGATACACTACACTATAGAAGAGGTCATAAATTTGAAAACTTATCTAATATTAACACTTAGATACAATCGATCAGTATTGTATAACCTCTAGATAATAATACTATAAATTAGTTTACAAATATATATGAAGGGGTTATGTGGAGATTATAGTAATTTCAATCATTGAAATTATGAGTCAATTGAAGCAAGATCACCATGAAAAACCTAGAACCAGTGGACAACCTTTTTGTGCTATTGTGGAACTCACTAATAACTAGCTTTAAGAAGTGTTTCTTGGAGTTCTAATGAAAAGTATTGAACAGTGGAGTTCAACTGAGTCTGTTGTGAAATATTAACTCATTGAAGACAATGATGAATGTGTCGTTCAATTTCATGGATTAGTTGAAGTTAAACATTAACACCGTTAAATGCCAACTCAGTGGTCTAGAGTTTAAGCGCTCGCCTTTGGTTTGAATCTCGCGAGGCGGGATAGTGGATGAACACTGTTGAAGAGTCCCATAACAAGACGAGATGGCCATCCAATGCTTCCAAGTTTTCCATGATGATCTAGCTTCAATTGACTCATGAAATTAATATACATATATTGTCTTCTTGTGATTCAGATTTACTTTATTAATTTAGTGTCGAACAAATAAACTATCACCATTATAAACATGTAGATGTGTAATGAACAGACAAAATTCAACACCCTATACAGTAATTAGTTAAGGGGGGGGGGCAATTTGACAAATAACTACATATACTTTAGATTCATTGACCGTGGACAATGTTTACCATTAAATAGCATGTAATATAGTAACAAAAACATACGAAAAAAACTAACTGTAATTTACATTGGACGTTAGATGATTCCCTAGTCTTATACTACACATGAGTTAATATACTAACCACCTATCGCTTTAAAAAAAAGAACTACAGCACATTATATGTAAGGGTTCAAAGACAGACATGATCAACAAAGAGTCTGGTACAGATAATTATTCGTTCAAGATGTCATACCTAATTAACATGAACAGATCAAAATAACAAGATATATACCAAAATAGATTGAAGTGATACAGTAGCAATAGTAAACAAAAGATTAAAAAATTTGGAATATGGTTCTAAAAGACAGAGTAGAGAAAGTATATAAGAACGTATACCGAAATCTATAACTGAAAAAAAATATAAAGCATGAAAGTATTTGTTCCATTATGGATGTTTTTGAGGTTAAGTTTTTGCGTGCGAGACCGAAGGTTCTAGGTTCGGGTCCCGCGTGTGGGATCGTGGATGCCCACTGCTGAAGAACCACATATTAGAACAAAATGGCTATCCAGTCCTTACAAATTTACAGTGATGGTTTAGCTTAGATCAACTCATGAATTCAACAATGAAAAAGTATATAAGAAGGCATACTGAAATTCATAACTGAAAATATAAAGCATGAATGTATCGGCACTAATGTGAAAGGTTCTGACCCATGTTCTTAACCATTGATCAATCTTACCATGTGGACCGCAACCATATAGTCTGAATCTATTAAAGCAGCTTACTTCATCAGTTAATGATTCTATGGAGTGACGCTATGTTTTGATTTGGCCATACCTATCTTTTTTACAACATACTTCTACACTAACTGCCATCACACATCGAGATAACCGAGGATTGAGTATATTTAACGCGTCCTAATCAATTCACAGTCAATAAAGATTAACGACCTCAATGAACTGGTTCATGACTTTTACCTAGTACCTTATCATAGGGTTAGCTCCAATATTACTCACTTGGTCGTTTCACAAAAAAAAAAAAACAATGTTTCGAAGACACTTATGAAAGTTGGTAGTTTTTAAGTCATAACTGGACTATCTTTGATTAGATACTAAAGTAAACGTTTCGTATCGTTAGAATTTTTTTCTCGTCAGTTAACTGATTATTAATTATATGGATGATTATAATCTAGCAAGAATATGTACCAATTTGAGATGCTACAAATCAACATACATGAAGAGATGAAAGAAATAAAAAGTAGAGGATAAAGGAAATAATAATATCACCTCCAATGAAACATTAAATATAAGATTGAATGAGTTGAGAGAATGAAGTAATTTCATACTGAAGATATGGAGGAGCGGGGAGGCGGGAATTAGAGAATGAATGTAAATGACTTGTTGCTATCAATTTTAAAAACAATTCTAATTACTATACAAACTTAAATCAGAAATTTTATATCTAATGATAAACCTCAATTTAACAATCAATCATCATTTGAAATGATTCCATACCTCCATCCAATCGACACTAATATTGTTCTAATCCAATATCACGTCAGAAAGAAGATGATGGTATGGGAAGTATTGACACATATATATTTCAACCGCCTCGATTGATGAACGTGTATAAGGTACCTACCTTATGAATTAGTTTACCATTTCTAACGTAAGTCAAACTTTAGCATAACTCTGAAGGCAGCTCAGTCAGCTGCAACGTAGGACCAGACACATATATGCACCGGTTCAAGTTGCCATAACGCATTAGCACAACAAGATGAACACCAGATTCATAGAAGTAGTTAATCCAGTGGTGGTAATATATAGAAGAAAGATTGCATATAAAGAGGTAGTACAGGAAGAAAGACCGTTGTTGCTACCTTGACGTGGTGGTCCGGCTTGCCCATC